AAAAAAAAAAAAAAAAAAAAAAAAAAAAAGCCAGATTGAAGGGCAAAAATCACTTTAACTGATAATTGAAACGAAAAAAAAGAAAGAAGAATCATAGTTTAACTCTTCTTTCTATTCCATTCTTTTGCTTTTTTGCTCTTTTGCTGATTATCATTTAACAAATAACTTTTTTCTTTGAAAGGTTTAATTATTAAATGATTTTAGTAAATTTACTTTTTCTTTGCAAATATTATCAGTCAAAAATATGGTAAAGAAAAAAGTAACTGTTTGATAATTTCCTGTAAAGCAGTTTGCAGTTGTTCAGTTAACCCGTTTTTGTTCAATCGTTGCTAACCAAAGCTCTCCTTTTTTTCTATTGAAATTTTACTATTTTTCTTCTAGCCGGGATAAAATTTTTCTATTTATTTTACTGTTTTTTGTCATGATATCGAAAGAAAATTAGTTTGTGGTTAACCAGAAAAAGAACGCTTTTTTTTTACCGCTGATATATGGACAGACAAATTAGCAGACAGAATTGATAGGTGGGTGTAAAGCGCGGGATACGAAGGACAAGAAGGAAAAAGGGACAGTGAAGTGTAAATGAATGATGAATAAAAAGCCTATGTGAAATTTGATGCACCGAAACATTAGTGGTTCATTTTTTGTAGGTTACGAGAAATAAAAAAACCCAAAAAACAACAATATCATTGCTGTTACTGCTGCTTTTGTTGTTGTTGTTGTTTTTGTTACAGTTTTTAAAATACATATCATCTATCTCGAAAAAGAACGAAGAATCATACACTGACAAATACTAACAAAAATACACTTTACTGGTGAACTAGAAAAGGGGATTTTTCAAGAAGAAAAAAGGTTAACTAGAAAAAAAATTGAATTAGATGGATCCTTTTTTTTTTCTTTTACTTTTCGACTGTCTCTGTTTTGTAAATAGAAAATTGTAGCATTGGTACTGCTCAGTGTTAGTTTAGTTAATTGTGACAATGATGACGGACCAAAAAAATTTGTCAGTTTTCGATGGGTTAATTTGGCCAAAAATGCTATTAATTGAACTTTCATGTTCAGTTTGTTCTCATCTGATCTGTTAGTATATATCATTACTGTTGTCATTGTCATTATCCTTAGTATCACTACAATTAGCTTCTTCAAAAGCATTTTATTACAGTTTTTGTTAACCGAATGGATATTACAGAAAAACTGATGAAACTATGATCGCTGCTGAAAACGATAGCAGTAGCAGTAGTAGCTCGTCGGCATGTTCATCATCGTTTACTATAAATTCAGGTTTCCTTTATGCTCTATGATTTTGGTTCTATTCGTATTTAACACATTTATCTATAACTAACTAACCAACAACAACAACACAAACTTTCTTGGTAGTTCCAGAAAATAGAATAGGACAGAGGCGATTGTTTTCCTTCTATTCAAAAAGAAACCGTATCTGTCTGTGTTGAATATGCTGTCATTTACTGCTTTCTTCTATCGTCATTTTTTTATGGGATTTTGTTTTAAGTCTTGACTTAAGACTTGAGTACACTGTTCACTCGTTGAAGGTTTTTTTCTTCGTCTGTCTGTCTGTGATAATTTGCTCATATGAGTCACTAGATTTTTGGCAAATTTAGCCAGTATTATAATAAAAATTGCTGTTCTTAATTTTTTTTTCTGCGGTCATCTAAAGGAGCTAATTAAAGTTAGCTTATAAAATAGGTAAACTGACGTATTTATCAATATTGTAAGCGGAAATTCAGTCAAATAATTATTAAACTATGATCACTGATCTTATGAATCTTTGAGCAATAAGTTCAGCGAAAATTGTTCCAC